AGCATTGCATATATAATACTTTATATTTATTTGTCCATCTGCCCTAGTATACGTGATCTTTGGAATGAAAATTCTGTACTATTCATTTTATATGCTCAATGTCAAGCACAGTTCTGCATAAAGTAAACATACGATAAATGTTTATTGAAGGTTACTGTTAAATGTAACTAATGCACTTGCTTGATGACCTAAATATGATAGACAGGATGTGGTTTTATATGAGCAAAGTCTACCAGAAGATAGCAAATAGATGAGAAAGACACTTGTGGTCTTGGGAGAGCAAACAAGAAAGCCTTTGCCCAAAGTAAATTCTTTATACAAAGTAAAGTTATTGATGCGTTCAATAGAAACAAGGAGTCAGCTAGCTGAATGTTCTCTTGCAGCCACAACCTCCAAATTCCAAGGCATTTTTGTATAATCCATTAGTTCTAAGTAGATTTTCAAAAGTAGAGCTTTCTTACCTGTGTTCCAGTTCTCGAATGGACAGTATCACCCCTGAAGTCGATGGCTTTTGCTGTACAGTAGCCAAAAAGGTGAATTCGCTCTTATTCCGGAACAGCTGAATTAATTTCTCACTCACATGAGGGGCCGCATGGATCTCTCTCTCTGTATCTAGGAGTCAAGAAGGAAGAGCCGAAGAAACAGGAAGGGAGGGAAAGGAGAAAGAGAGAAGAAATAAGATGCACAGTTAAAAATGCATGTCCAAAGGATCCAGGCTGCATTTTTCATTTTCCCCTCTTGTCAATAGTTTTCATTTTCAGATGCCATCCACCACTCCATACAGCTGCATTCATTCAATGCAAAACCCAGAAATGCCATCTCTGCCACCATGCCCACTTGTCACTTTGACAAGTTCACAACTGGCCGGTGATTTTCTGACAGGAATTCTGACAGGACACTGAGCAATTTGGCCAGCTGCAAAGAGATTAAGTTGCTGTAAATAAGGTGAGAGGTAGTCAAATAAATAGGGTCCTAAATTCAGAGAATCCTGAGTCTAGCACGATCCAAATGTCACTCCGCTCGCTGTCTCCAATGTCACTTTTTCAATGGACTCTGTGTCCTTCTCTCCACAATGCCTCTAGGGAAACCTGTCCTTGCTCTGTGCCCTACAGAGATTTACTAGCACTAATAATGCCAGACAACTCTGCTTTTGCATAAAGAATAAATACAAGGCATGTTTGTGATCCATAAGCGTGCCTGGAATTTCTCTGTAAACATGCAGTGGATGACTTTCCTCATGAAATATTTATTAAAGTTAAGGCCAGTTAAGCAGGCCTAGAGATGTGTGAGTCCAGCTAATCTTGCTCCTGGACAGGAATCTTTCTGCAACATCTGCATAATGAGAGATATCCATCATTTCATACTCAGACTCACCCTTGTCATGATAAACTGGGTATTATCTCCTTATTTTATACTACACTTCCTGGCATCAGAAAGTAGGCACCAAGAGAGCAGAGTTACAGAAAACTATTCAAAGGATGATAAATGAACACCAACAGTGTGTTTGGTGGCCTTCTCTCCTTCCCAGACCTCTGACTGTATAAATACTTGGTTATTTCTCCAGGGCTGCAGAAGGAGCCTTTGAAAAATGTAGAACTTCAAAGGCCACCTTGCCCAAGCAACATCATAAACGTGTGTGTAGACCTTAAAAGAACCTCTTCCCAAAGAGTGACTTTTAATGCAGAGAAATTCTTGAATTCTTAACCTCAAGCCTCAGGCTTTTCATTGGCAAAATGAGGGTGTGGACTTGGTGATTGGTCAATCCTCCCGAGCTTAACCTTCTATCATTCCATGAGTTGCCAAGTTTGCAGCAGAGAAGAACACCACAGTCTTCCGGCTGCAAAAGTCCACGCTACAAATGGCAATGATGCAAGGTTGGTCCTCTGCCATGGGGACACTCAACCCAGGCAGAGCACTCTACCAGCATAAACCTACCTGCACAATATCTGCTTTTCTGCCCAAAGAAAGTCATTCACTACGTTACTGCTAGGTGATAGGCTGTCAGCTTTGGTCAAGGGCTGAGATAAGAGGCAGCCACTTAGAGAAGGCTTCTACACCTTCTACAAAATCCCAAAGACTTTCCTGGATGATATTCGAAACCTATTAAATGTATGAACAAGTCACTATAGAGATTAGCGAATGTTTATGAACATTATTTTTATCATTTTTATTATTACTTTCTATCATTGCCAGACAAACATCCTCATAATAAATTCCTTATTTTTATCATTTTTATTATTACTTTCTATCATTACTGCTAGACAAACATCCTCATAATAAATTCTACCTAGAATTTAGTGCCAGAAAAAAATATTTAGTTCTTGAGGTTAACTTATATGTTTACCTTTTTTTTCCTTTTGCTATTTTCTTCTTTAGTTAGCAATCAACTGATAGGTACTGGCTGCCTAGGGAGCTCAGCAGAGGATTCTGAAGCTTGGGCCCAATGAAAAGAGGGCCATGATCAATCATCAATGTCCGCTGGGGGAGAGAGCTATGAGTATCCCATCAGTTATGGGTATCTTCACCTCTCTCTCTCTATTCTCCCTGGGTGCTATCATCCAGCCCCACGGCCAATGACACCCAAATTTATATCCGCAACCCCAATCTCTTCCTTAAGCAACACGCTGTATATTCGCTACCCCTCTTAGGATCTCCATATGTCTAATAAGCATTTCAAATTGTACGTGGCCACAACAGAGCTCTAGTTCTCTCCCAACCCTCTATTTTCTCCTAGAGTTCCCAGTCCTAATAAATGGACCCACCCAATTCTCAAGCCAAAAAAAATAAAATGCATCCTTGATTCTTCCCTTCCCTCCATGCTCCATATCCAATCCAAGAGCAAATCATGAGGGCTCCCAAATCTGGAGTCTGTCCACTTCTTCCCAGCTCTAAAAACTCTTGTCCAAGCTGCCATCATCTCTCCCTAGGACACCTGCAATGGCAATCGAGCTGATCTCCCTGCTTCCATAATGCCTTTTCTTCTCCATTCTCCACACAGCAGCTGAAATATTCTTTTTAAAGCAAAAGTCATAAACATTTAGTCTCTCACTTAAAACCCTCCAATGGCTTCCCACTGCTCTCAGGATAAAATCTAGGCTCTTCAGAATGGCCTGCAAAATCGCACGTAAATCGACTCTTGTCTACCTCTCCCGCCTGACTTCATACTCTTCTCCGTTGCTAAAGGAGCACTCCAAGCCCACTCCTGTCTCAGTCTTTGTACCCTCCCCTCTACCCACAGTTGTCTTCCCCCACTGTCCACATGCCTTGCTCCTCCTTTTCCTTCAGCTCTCATTGCAAATGCAACCCTCCTGGTCACTCTCTCCAAAGCAGGCTCTTCGCAAATGTCTAAACCACGACTCTGGTTATTTTCTCCATATCACTTATTATAATATACGTATTGTGACCCATGTATTGTTTCCTTCTATCGCTCATCACAATCTATTTCATGTCTCTTACCATATTTCCTTCCTGTCCACACTAAACTATAAGTTCCACGAGGGCAGGCACACTTATTCGCTGTTGTATCCACAGTTCTTAGTGCCCAGTAGAAAACAGGCATCCAATACTTATTGAATTAATTTATTTATTTTCCACTTATTTTTTGTCATTTACGTTGTTACTTCAAGTAACCACAAATATTAGTCAGAAAATAGGAATACCATTTGGAAAACTAGGAGATACATGGGTACTTCCCAAGGGCCAGCAGCTACCAAATTAAAAGAAATGGTGTTCAGTGCCACTTCAGCCCCCCCCCTTTCTAGGACACCCCACCTAATGGTCTCATCCAATCAGACCACACTTCTGTTCCCCCAGCCCTCCTAGAAAACTGAACATTTCTCTTGCCAGCTTTTCTCATTTCTTTATAAATGATAGGCACATTGAAGTAAAGGCCCCATTAGCATTCACCAGAGTGAAATGTAAAAAAAAAAAGAAAAAGAAAGTGTCTATTTTGATACATTGAAACTTTATGTACATTCTCATTTTCAGAAAAGCTCTTTCAAGTAAATTTACCATAATTCAGCCACTAAAAGCGCACAAGGAAGTAATCCCACTTCTTCTTACAGTACAGAGGCAAGAAAACTGAACCAGGTTCCAAGAGACGGAAGACCACTCTGAGTTCAGCAGATATGTATCTGTGCACCCTGGCATCAGACGCTTTGCCTCTCTGAGCCTCACAGTCCACATGTGAAAATCAAGTGCATTAGAATCCATGATCTCCAAGTTCCTTCCTAGTCTCACCATTCTGTTTGTTAATCACATTACCCTAACCCTAGCCACATAGCAAAATAGAGTACGGAGGTTATTTTTTCATTTATAAAACACCGAGATTTTATAATTTCTTCCTCTGATTTTCCAAAACAGAAATGTAAAGTTGTCAATTACTAAAAATAGTGATATGTCACCTACTTTGGAATAGCCGGCTTTTTCCTAGTTAAAAGAGCAACCAACCAATGAAAACCAATTGAGAGGCTATGGTGATTATGCTTCCATAATCAACCACTATCACGTATGTTTGCTGGATTATTTAAGAATATTCAATGCTGCCAGAGAGAAGAAAAACAAGCGGGATAAAGCTCATAGGGTGTGTTAAATATAGATAGCAAGCTAGAAACCTGTGAAATATGTTAAATGTAGATCGAATAAATGGAACATAAGTGTGCTGAACACAGATAAAAAGGATTGAATGAGAGTGTGACTTATAAATAGAAAGGAGTGGGAGGACCAAGTCATAATTTACAAATCATGCCACCTTCAGAATGATAGCTGTCACTCCTAAATCCGACACCCATCTTTGACACCCATTCCATTCCTACAATGGCCCCACATGTATGCTGTCTGAAAAATGCTAAATAAAACCCACCACCGATCCCCAAATTACTGGTGAACTACAGCAGTGGCCAGGCATTTTTGCCCGAGTCTCTCCAAGAGAGGAAGCACCCTGGCTCCAGTGAACCCCTTTTTGTATAACCTCAGCTCCAGTCCATGTAACCACAGCATCAGTGACAAAGCTGATGGGGCAGAGATAAAGACTGACTATACAGACACTGCATAAACCAGAAATCCAGTGGGGTCTCCCAACCTCCAACTTGTACCCTATTCTAATTGTGTTACCCTACTCCATCTCCTTCCCTTGCTTCTTCCTGGATATTTTAAATTGAGTTAATAAGTCACATGATTCAAGCATCTGAACTTGGTCTGCTTGTGAGGCTTTTTATTTTGTGACCTCTGGGAATATACTTGTAGGGTAGCATCGCATCACAGTAATTTCCCACACAATAACCACCTACGGTGAACATTTTTTAAAAAGAGGAAAAAATAAGGACATTCCAAATAGTCAGAGGTTTTGCATGATCTAGTTAAGAAGTGCTCACTCAGCAGCAAGGGTTAAGTGCTTTCTCTTTCCTAGGATGAACCATTCTACCTAGTCATTTTTAAAGAAACACTAAAAATGCTAATGGTGATTATTAAGCATCAGTAAAAAAAAAGTGCTGAGTGAAAGGAGACTGGAGAGTAGAGAAGGAGAGAAATTAAATGATGGTATTCACACACTCTACTCCGCCTAATATAGAAGTGACTTCATTTCCCTTTCCCCTGACTTCTAGGGTAAGAAA